CTTTAAATAATGGTGAATGTAGTGACAAACTTGAACACAAGGTGAAATTTGGAGTTTAAACTGTGAGTCTTAAGGAGTTTAAGTACTAGTTGTATAATTTTATCATTTTTCTTTATCCTACAAATAAAAAGATAAAAACAAAATCGAACTTGTTCGAGTGCATTTACATGTTTGTGAACATATAATTGAACATGTTCGCAAACATATAAGTGAACATGTTTACTAACAATAAATAAACGAATACGAATATCTTTAAAAATAAATAAACGAATACGAATTAAACATGAATATCTTTAAAAATAAATAAATGAACACAAATACATTCTTATTTGTTCAAGTTTAGTTCGTGTCCCACTTTCTTTCGTCCTATAATATATTTGTCTCCTCGAGTTTGATGCCTCGAGTTCCGATGGGTAGATAACTCTTTTCGGACTCATGAACTGTAATAGATGGAGGATGATTCACCACTATATCAGGATTTGTCTATGATGAAGTTTACACTGTATAATTGGATTCTATCTTATAAGAGTAATTATTTATTTATTAAATCCAATCAAATCAACCCATCACTCATTATATATAGATTTATTTAAAATATGAAATAATCAAATGCATATAAAACCATTTTTTACTTTCTTAATTCGGTAATAAAAAAAAATATGAGATATTTATTCGAATTAAAATAACCCATACATTTTCAAAATCAAGTTTTAATAAAATTGATCGAATACTTTTAATATAAAAATTTATTTAATTTATTATAAAAATAAGAATTGATCGAAGAAATCAAATTCGATTAATTTGGTCAATTGAATTTAAATATAACATTTTGGAGCATTACTACTCACGTACCTATTAGAGAGTTCACTCTATTACAAAGGTCAAATAAAATGAATATTTAAGATGTATTATGATTTACAATGTAACATGTTTTGAATCCTAATGATATGGTATACATGATGTAATATGCTATGAATGTTCTCATATTGATGATATGATAGGCATATTTCTGAGATGACGTGCATTGTGAAGAGATGTTATGATAATTAATAGATGTCATAAAATTTTAGGTAAAGTACATAAATGGTCCTTGACTACATACGTTATTTTGTCGAGTTTTTCGACTACTAAAAGTTATAAAATGATCCTCAATTATAGAGTATTTGTTTATTGAGTCACTCGACAAATAAAAATTATAAAATGAACACCTGACTATTTATATGTTCTAAACTCGTCAATTTTCGTTAAAAAATTGATGACAATCTGAGTTAGATGTTAACCCGTTGACTGAGATATGATAATCGTTTGAGATTTTAAGATCACATTGACAAGTTTGGAATATATGAATAGTCGGATGACAATTTTATAACTTTTAATAGTAAGAGGACTCAACAAAGCATTATCTTATAGTTAAGAGATCATTTTATAAATTTTAATAATCGATACTCAATAAAATAACACCTTATAATTAAGGGATCATTTATGTTCTTTATCTAAAATTTTATTCACTAAAGCACGATTACTTTATGATTAGATAATATTATGTAATAGAAAATTTACGTGCATTTATGTTTCATTCTTCGTCATTTGTATTATATAAGGGTGTTCAAATCAAGTACCCGAGTTTTTGGGTACCTGAGTAGTTTGGTTTCTCTTCTGTGTCTCGATCGGGATGTTACGGGTATCTGGTAATCAGGTAATTGATTTTGTAGATACTCGTAATTCGGGTATCCAAATATCTGATTTTTTTATCATTTTTAAATTATTAATTTTAAAAAAACATATATAAATTTAAATGTTTAAATTAAATACTCCAAAATCCAAACATACAATTTAAAAATTTGAAATACAAAATTTAATAATCCATAATATAAATAAAACATAAAAGTTCATAGCTAACTATATGAGTAGATATAATCAACTTGATACTTTCATTTGCCATTCTTATTTCCTATAAGCAATTCTTTTATTAGATGTAAATAAACAATAAATTTTCAACAACCAATATCTTACCAAGATGCAAAACGACAACATAACTAAATTTTCATCATAACAAATATCAGGTAAAACTTTTATCAATGAAATATAACTAAAATTTAATAGCTTACCAAAATTTGGGACTTATGGCTATGGGCATTGCTCTTCATACGTAACATTAACTTCATTTGTTTCATCAATGATAATTGTTAGTTGTTTTGAAGTTAAATCTTACATTTCTATATTAAGTATTTAAAGTATGCAATCGTTTCAATGTAGTACATATGTTTTAAAATATAAATATTTAAATATCTAAACATGAAATTGAAAACTAACATTCTTCCATATTCTCCAATTCTAGCAAACTCTCATCTACTGTCAATTTGGGTGAGTGTTAGTTTAATTTAATATATATATATATAACTGGATACTCGGGTAATCAGGTACCCAAAAAATCCAATTTTGTGACCAGGGACTGACCTAATAAATGTCGGGCTGGGTACCCAACCCGGTCAGGTAATTTATTTTAGAAAATTACCTAATTTTTTTAAGTTCAGGTCGGGAGGTTCGACGGACCGAGTCAATCGATTGTGTATTTTTGAACACCCTGATATTATATGCACCATTTAACGCAAAGTTTAATGTGTGATTTATTTCTCACACATAGATACATATATTTCTTTAATTTCTCTTTTTTGACAACAAAATTTTTAAGTTGTTTAGTTTAATCCCTTAATTTTGTTTGACTAATTTTTTCAATTTTTTTCATTTTAGATTTATTTTTGACTAAATTTGAACTACATGCTCTCCTACCACTATAGAAAAACCATGTAATTTTAATTCCTATTTTAAAAACAAACATACTCTCTCTGCAATTTAATCGCTTAACTTTATATTTTATTCAATTTGATCTTTTGACTATATTTTTTTATAAATTATTTCTTTCCATCATTTCCTTGACTATTTTATATTCTTATCAATAGTTTATCCTCAAAATACTTTTTTTGAAAAATAATATTATAAATATGTTTTGTAATTTTAAATTATATTTGATTTATTAAATAACATTACAATGTGAAAAAATTATAAATAAACATACATGATTAGATAAAGTTGATAAATTAAAAAAAAGTCATACTATAATATTATAAATAATTACAATTAAATTAAAAAAAAGCTCGAACAACTTGACTCGAAAGAATTTTAAATAAAGTTTAAATGATAAAATAAGATTTGTCAACTCAACTAACTATTTTTTTAATTCAACTCGATAGAATACTAACCCCAAATTATTTCACTTTTAAATAAAAATTCTAAAAATCTAAATAGAATAAATTAAGTGATTTCCTAATAACTTCAATAATACGTTTAATAGGGTAAACTACACAATTAATCACTAATCTTTGCTCTCTCTCTTATTTCACTCAGTATACTTTAATGTTTTTTTCAATTTAATCACTCAACTTTTGTTTTACTCCTATTTTGGTCACTCTATGATGACATGGATTATTTTATAAATATTTTTCATGTGATGTGACATAATTTATTAATATTTTAATATCGAGTAAGATTATAATAAAAATAAATAAATTAAAAACTCAAATTATACCCTTAAATTTAAACCAAAGCCCTAAACCTCTAAATCATACCTAAACCATATATCAAACCCTAAATCCCAATTACAACCCACCCCACCCTCAGCCTCACCCTTCTACCGGTGGACGATGGCTCATCAACGACAATTCGGTTCGTCACCTTTTCCAGTTTCTACTGGAGCCTTTCAATGCTCTCCACCATAGCCTTTTATGATCGCGTTTTAGTCTGTATTTGCTGAACATACACATGACTTGATCAGGACATCACCTTCTTGCACTGGATGGGAATCAGAGTTGTGATTTTAGTATTGGCCATTCTGGTAGCAGGCTTCATTGAAGTGAAGCGTAAAGATGCAACTCATGCACTGGATAAGAATAGCTGAGGAATTCATGTCAACTGGGCACTTGGAATTTATTGCTACCGTATTATTTTGGACAACAATTTCAATTGAAAATTATGCGAGCACGTTGTTAGTTTCTTTATACACAGATTTAGTGCTGGAGTTGATGGATCAAATTGGCTTCCAAATAACAACTTGAACAATGGGCGATGAGACACCGTCCACTAGCGGGAGGGTGAGGGTGAATTGTAATTTGGAATGTAGGGTTTGGTATATGGTTTAGGTATGATTTAGGATTTGGGGTTTAAATTTAAAGGTATAATTTGGGTTTTAAATTTATTTATTTGTAATATTATCTTATGTGGCATTAAAATATTAATAGATTATACCACGTCATATGAAAATATTTATAAAATAATCCATATCTTTATAGAGTGACCAAAATAGGAGCAAAACAAAAGTTGAGTGATTAAATTGAAAAAAAATTAAAAGTACACTGAGTGAAATAAGAGAGAGTAAAGTTGAGTGATGAATAGTATATTTTACCCTGTTTAAAAATGTAAGAAAATAAAGGATCTTTTAAAAAATTATTCTCATTTTTCGCTCTGTTCTTAAGTGTGATATCTTCGACTCGAATATATTTGTCAAAGCAGATTTGAAGTATTACAATTTTTCATTTTTTAAGTATTCGTTTAACACTCGTATCCAACACATTCATTACATCAGTAAAGGGCATAAGTTTTCAAAAATATGAACAAACTTTTTTAAAAAAGACAATCCATTCGAATCTATGTAACGGAACTCATCTAGTGACCTCGGTGGTTAAAGGGAGTGTTGTTCTCCCTACATGTCCTTGGTTCAAGCAAACAAGAAAAAGAATTGCAGGTCTGCAGCACATATACACTGCACTGCACCTGCGGTAGCAAGATATGGTTGCATCAAATTTTCAGGTAGAGAGGAGAGGAAGAAGACGATAGTTTCTTTTGATCAATCGTCCAACCATAAAAACAAACACTCCCCGAGATACATATTTGCCTTACCTTACTCATGGAGTGAACTATAATCTTGTAAAAGGTCTGCTACTTAGAGAACTGCACAAAGAATATAGATGTGTCTGAAACTGTTTAATAACATGGGAACAGTAACAGGATAAGTTGTATCGAGAAGAACATCGATTATCAACTAAAATGTTTCATCTGATTTGAACAAATATGTAACACATTGGTATTAGAGTAAGTTTACAAATATAATTGCATACAAAATAAATAATGCTCCATACTCCACCCATGCACCCCTGGTTTCACATTTGGCCAGTGTCAATCTCCTCTATCCTAGTTAAACTTGCAACTAAGGTAGTAGAGAAGAAATTGACACTTTTTCGAAATACATGCTTTTGCAGAAGGGATCCTACCAATTGGACTGTTAAGCTGATCGAAAATCGCAACTAAACAATATTGCAATAGTGCCTCTATCTAAATCACGACCACCTATTGACTTCTACGGTTCTACCGGTAAGGCAGTATCTTCGGGATGTACAGCTCGCTTAAGTTCCTGACCCAATCTGTCAAGTATTTGATATATTCTATCAAATTTAGGGTGTGACCTATCAAATACAGTGAACTCATGGACTTCGTTGTCTATTTCAATAGAACTTGCTCCTGAAGGTTTTTGAACCCCTATGCTCCTCATTTGAAGCCTTACACTTGCTGCGCTGTCCCAATCTCCCGCTGCAGCAAAAATATTCGCTACCATGGAATAATTTCCTGGATCAGAGGGATCCAACTCAAGAAGGTGATCAAGCACCTTCTCTGTGAGTTCCGTAGCATCATGCAATCGGCATGCCCCCAAAAGAGTACCCCATATAATGGCATTTGGCTCAAAAGGCATGGTATGCATAAGTCTAAATGCTTCCTTCAAGCGCCCTCCTCGGCCTAAAAGGTCAATCATGCAACCATAATGCTCAATTTGAGGAACAATCCCATAATCTTTCTCCATTGCGTAGAAGTATTCTACACCCTCATCGATAAAGCCTGCATGGGTACAAGCACACAACACACCTACGAAAGTAACTCTATCTGGCTGAAATCCTTGCATCTTCATTCTAGAGAAAACATGAAGTGCTTCTCTGCCACGACCGTGCATAGCAAATCCATGCAGCATTGCATTCCATGAAACTACATCTCTTTTTGCCATTCCATTAAAGACACTCCGCGCCTTGTCTAGACTGCCACACTTTGCGTACATATCAACTAATGCATTAGACACAGTAATGCTACATCTAAAGTTAAGCCTCTCTATTGAATCGTGCACTTTTATACCCACTTTTAATAAACCAGACTCCGCACAAGCAGCCAATATACTAATAACGGATCCATCGTCCAACCTCAATCCATGTCGCTCCATTTGATCATACAAGTCAATAGCCTCTTTCGCCAACCCCTTTTCTGCATATCCGGATATAATAATAGTCCAAGGAACCAATGTCTTGAGCGGCATCTTATCAAATAAAACTCTAGCCATGTCCATATCCCCTGCCTTGCTATAACCCATAACCATAGTTGACCAAGACACCACATTCCTCTGAGGCATCTTTTGAAACAATTCAAAAGCTTCCTCCATTATTCCCGCTTTAACAAATCCATCCAAGATTGTATTCCAACTAACTATATCTCTCTCGGGCATTTCATCGAACAACTTCCTAGCTTCCCTCAACTGCCTAACTTTCAACAACCCTGCCATCATAGAATTCCATGAAACAACATCTCTATCTTCCATTACCGAAAATAACTTCCAAGCTGCTTTAACACCCAATTCTCCAAACTTCGAATAACTATCAATAAGAGCATTGGGTACAAAAATATCACCCAAAAAACCATTCTTTTCAATCTGGGTATGTATCATTTGCAGCAATTTCAAACTATTACAAGCCTTCAACAGAAAAGGGTAAGTGAAATTATCAGCCAAAATCCCGTTCCATAGCATTTCAAAGTAGAAAGAAAAAGCCTGGGTTGGCTGTGAGTTCTGCACACAGGCTCTAATCAAAGTGTTGTACAAATGAACATTGGGGTCTTGAATTTGGTTAAAAACGTTAAGAGCCAAGGCCAATTGGCGGCATAGAGAGAAAGCTGAGATCAACTTGGGAGCAATATAAAGGTCTTGGTGAAGATTTTGTTTGATAATTTGGGCTTGAAGCTGTTTAACATGGCTTAAATTGTTGCATTTATGGAGGTCCTGGAGTTTTTGTTCAAAAAGTCTTCTTGTAGAGGACCATGAGGGGGATTTAAGAGGTATTGACATGGGGTTTCGAAAGGGTTTAGAGATGGGAAGATGGTGGGAGTTTTGCATGAATATGGGGCTTCGCTCTGGAGACTTTGCTGTAATTCTTTCTCTCTTTTTTTCTTTTTCAAAGGGATTTTGTTAAGCTGAAGCTATCCATGTTTTCCTCTGGCAAAGATTCTTTCTTTGCCTTAGTTAAATCTCAGTTGGATATATTCATTTGGGCTTGGCTTCATAAATTTATGGCCTGCCTTCCATCTCCTGTCCATTTAGGGTTTTTTTATTGTTACTCTCTTGGTTATAAAGTTTCGTCTTGATTAATTTAAAAAGATCTGTTTTATATACATGATTTTATTATGATGGGCGAGTCTCCCAACAGTAATTTTTTACATATATAAAAATTTAAAATCGAGATATTTCTTAAGTGATATTAAATTGTTTATCACTTGAACCAACACTTGTTATCAATATTTCAAGACGTACATAAATAATTTTTTTCTTGATAATGTGAATAAAAGCATAGAACAAAAGTTTTCTCTTAAATAGTCCAATATCGTTATAATATAATTTTTTTAATAATTTATAATGCATATACATCCTATCGTAAACACTCATTTTCGTTCAAAGTTAAATTTAAATTTCATTTTTCTTTATTTTCCTTTGTTATGTTATTACTATTATTTTATAAGTATTATTACTTTACTGATACTATTGTTATATATTATGAATTATTGTTACTTATTCTACGTATTATGTTATTTACTATTATTTTAATTACTAATTATTATATATTATTAGCATTATTTATTATTTAATAGTCGTATAATTTTATAGTGGTCAAACATACACCAATGCTAATTTCTTTTATTGATCATTGCTAGGGGTGTAAAAAACTGACCCGACCTGTAAAACTGACTGAAACCGACTCGAGTTAAAACCGTTTTTTACCTGTGCTGATGATTTGAAACCAACTTGAGTCGGAACTGGTGTTGACCTGAACCCGAGTTGGACCTGGAAATTATAGATATGAACTCGATCTGCATCCGACCTGAGAACGACTTGAACCCGAATTGAATAGACCCGAACCCAAACTGCATCCGACTGATATGAACCCGAACCCAAGATTGACATACTAAATAACTGGTATTACCCGACCTGTTTTCAACCTATGAATCTGTCATGTAATTGACTCAACCTGTAAATGATCCGACATGTTGTTAAAGTGATATGATATTATCCTGATTTATAAGTAAAGTTACAATTAATATAATTATGTTATTTTCAATTTATAATAAACTTATGATAATTAAATTATTATGATAATTAAATTAATATGATTACTCTTTGAAATTTTATCATAAATTATTATGATAATCAAATTAATATAATTACTTTTTTGAAATTTAATTTTATATTAATTATAATTTGTATATTATAAATTTGATTTTTATGTTAATTCCAATTCATAAATTTCTTACTATTTCTTATATTATAAATTTTATTTAAAATCACTAAATTAAATTTAAATATTATCTTATTAAACTTGATTTTATTAAATTATATTAACAAAGTTAAAATATTCATAAATCTAATTTACTTTTAATGTGAAAATTGAATAATAATTTAAGTAAACTTAACTTGATATTTTAAAATCAAAATATATTAATTGAAATAGACTTATTATATATTAAAAACTTGAATAACATTACAAATATTAATTAAATATTTATAAATGAATGTAATTTCATTACACTTAAAAACACTAAAAACACAATAAAATCAACTAAACAAAATAAATGTATGTTGAAATAAATGCTCTCATATCTTATAGCTAATGTTTACAAGGCTAAAAAGCCTAACTATACTACTAGAAATGTCATCATCGAGCATATACCTAATTGCTGCCAACATATTTAATTATGGGCAACTTTCTAGTTTTAAAAGCCAAAATTCCACCAACATAATTAAACATGAGTAACTATTTAGATAAAAATTTATAAGGTTCTAAAATTGATTTAAGTCAGACCAACAACAATAATTTACAAGGCATCAGTGAGTAATAGACAGCAGCAATCGACAAGCATCAATGTACCAATTCAGCAAGCATTGTTGCATCGATTCAACAAGCATCCTATATTAAGAAAACATACAATCAGTGGTAAAGCCAAAGGGAATTCGATGGACAATAGTGCCAAACATTTCCGACTTTACCAAACACGTACAAATATCAAGTAGAAGCAAGCAATGTCAAACATAAGCAAACAATATAAAACAGAAGCAAGCAGAATCAAGCAGAATCAAGCACCAAGTATTGCATCTTGTAAGGTAGTAAGGCACTCTACAAAAGAGAAGACATATTAATAAACAATTTGAATTTTTATTAAATAAACATTATAAATATAAAATATTATTAGGTTACCTTAAAAGGGAATAAAGAAGACAAAATCTCCTATTCAAATCTCCAATTCAAATTATTTTAGAGACATTTAAACACCCTAAAATTAAAATAAAATAATTAATAAATAAATTGAAATATTAATGACATTAACATAAAAAAACAATTTGGATTACCTTTACAACGAAGACTCGTTAACCACAGAAAGGTATTCTTCGTCCTTATCATCTGACTCAAAACCATACAACCAATTACGGTTGTTACAAAAATCTCAACATTTTAGGTAAGAGTTTAGCTCTTAATTTGTTCAAAATTCGACCTCCCATACTAAAGGAGGATTCAGATGCAACTGAAGTAATTAGAATAGCCAATATATCTCTCGCCATACGAGAAAGTACCAAATATGAAATACTTTGATTTTTCTAATAATACAAAATATCAAATTCAGTTTCTCCAGTATGAGGGACAAGAGGCAAACTGATGTAAGAATCAACATCAGATCGTCCACTCCTTGATGCAGCTAAATTGGCATCGAAAGTCTAAAAAAATAAAAGACAAAGATTAGTAAATGAAAACAAGAAATAAATAAAATAAATTCAACTTAAAATTATAATTACTAACCTGAAATAAATCTGATTTTCAAAAAGCTCGAGGCCGATTGGAGCTTGACTCACTTATGCCCAAGGATGTGTTACTTTGGACAGAAGAAGAAGAGGAAGAATCACAAGATGCATTTTTTGAATAAAATACATATAAGTCAAGAAACTCATTATAAATGAGAATTACCCTCCTTTGAACCTCATCCTCAACATGAATAACATTGTACAACTCTTTCAGAAGTTTTAATTTATATCGAGGATCAAGTAAAACAACAAAAGACAGAATCATTGAATGATCATACCAATATTTCTCAAATAGTTCAAGCATGGGTCTAGCCATTGTAGAAATACCTTCACATGGATCATTATGAGCATCACACAGATCATTATGAGCATCACACAATAGTTTTTCAATTGAAACAACATTAGCCAAATACAAGTTAGAAGTGGGATATTTAGAACCAGAGAACAGAGTAGTAATTTCATAAAAAGGCTCAAGAAAATCACATATTGTTTGAACAATTTCCTACTCTTTATCAATAATGAAATCTAACTCATTTTCCCTATTAACAAACAAATTAATTTCTAATCTAGCCTCAAGTGCCCTATGAACCATCAAGTAAGTAGAATTCCATCGAGTAGGAACATCCAATACTAACTTACCAGAGAAAGAAGTATCACAGTCTTTAACAACTAATTTAATTGCACAAAGTCAAGAATCAGAAGAATCAATAAACTTAACAATTTCACGCAATTTATTAACAGAAGAATCAATTATATTCAAACCTTTTTGAACTATCAAGTTCAAAACGTAGGCAACATATCTTATATGGAAGTACTTACCATTGCATGGAAGAGGAGAAATGACATTCAAATCATCTTTCAGTCTTCTGGCCATTTTATCATTTGCAGAAGCATTATCAAGTGTAATGGTAAATGCTTTTTTTTAAGACCCCAACTCACATATCATCTTTTTAACAAACTTAAATATTTACTCCCCATCATGAGGAGGGGAAAACGACGAAAATTAAGAATTTTAGACTGAAGTTTCCAGTTATTATCAACATAATGACCAGTAAGAGCAAAATAAGAACATGAAGTACAGGCAGACCAACCATCACATGTAAAAAAAACACGACTTGAAACAGTATGCAATGAATCAAGTAGCAATTTCTTATGCTTTTCATGCTCCAACATACAATACTTAGTAACAGTATACCTAGATATATCCTTAATAGAAGAATTAAGGTAATGATGTAAATCCCTAAGTTTTTCATGCTCAACAATACTATATGCATAACCATGACACAGAATAGCCTCAACAAACAATTCACAGTATTTTTTTTTGATCAAAAAAAGCTACACTAACAGGATTTTCAGCAAGAAAATCTTTATATGCTTGGCATTTCTTAGTATGCCTTTTAGGGTTAGAAGTACCAATATAAGAATCAGCTTTATACCTTTCAACTTTGCAATACTTACACTCGGCATAAACAAAATGTTGAGTTAATCGATCGATGGAATTGGCCAAGAGGGGGGTGAATTGGCAATTAAGATTTTGGTGGAAGCTTTTACAGAAAATTGAAAAGATTTACACATTAATTTAGAGTGGTTCGACTTTCTCAACCAAAGTCTACGTCCACTACCTTAGCTATCCACACTAAGGATTTTCCAACAAATTCACTAATTTGTTCTTTCTTTTGAGGCCAAAGAGATAACCTTACAACACCCTCAAGAATATACCCCAATTCTTGAGAACACTCTTTCTAAAAAAGAAGATTACAAATTTGCAAACTTATAAGGTAGATTGTTTGCACAATTCTAGAACAGAGAAAAGAACACTAAAAAAATGAATACAATTAAGTACAAGTAGTGTTCTTGAAATAAAAAAGAATATTGAATGAAAAATAGGCTTGAAATGCTCAAACTTGAGGTTTGATGCTTTCTCTTTGATTCTCTCTTGATTCATGTTTCTTGTGTTTTCTTGTTTTTGATCAATGACTTCTAAGCTTGTTTAAATACACCTTCAAATGATTCTGAACGTTGAGGATGATTAGTGGAGTCAATAGAGTCTTTTAAGTGTGAAAACAATTAATAAAATCAGTTGGGAGAGTCAGTGCATCGATGCATACCCAAGGTGCAACAGTGCATCAAGTGTAAAATTTAAATATTTTGACCGTTGGACACT